TTTCTGAGGATTTGCTGCTGAGAGATAGGAATTTCTGCTTAAAAATTGAGATTTTCTGAATTTATTGGAAAGCACACCCTTAGCGCTCAATTTAGGGTAATATAAATTTTAAATTTTGGTGAAGGGTGCACGTGCAGTGTTACTTACTATGATATGTCTCTAAATCTTTTTTGACTCACTTTGGTCCTTTTTTCTTATGGTTGACCATGTACAGCTAATTTTTATGTTCTGATACTAGAGAGGAGCTTCTTCCCATGGCTGATATAGTGACTCCTAATTTAAAAGAGGCATCTGCTTTACTTGGTGGCATACCATTGGAAACAGTTGCTGACATGCGCTCTGCTGCAAAATCCATACATGATATTGGAGCACGGTCAGCAGTTGAATGCTTTTATATGGTTTATGTTAGCTTAAGTAATCAATATCCTTAACTTTATCCTGGAATCTCTCTGCTGTTAGAAGTTGAAATAAAGCAAGGTTTTCCGATCTGCAAAAAGAAAAAAAAATGATGCATTACTAACTTGATTAGGTCTTTGATTAATGTAAACTAAAGAATTAAACCTGGCATCTATTATTAATTGTAGGTAGGGTTATCTAAAAGCTGGGCCAAGTCATACGCAGCGTGAGTTGACAGAAAAATGAGAATTTTACAAGTTGGTTTAGGCTCCATCGAATCTGGCAGCATCTTTATTTACATGATTTTCGGGATTGTTTGTTAATTCTTATGCTCGTACGTGGAGCTCAAGAACCCTGTTTTCTCGTAAGGTTTTTCAACATATGTTGAAATTAATTTCTAAGTGAATGTTGTAACAGCATTTTATATTTCAATATACGTTGAAATTAATAAAATATAAAAAAATGTATGAATTTAATTTCAATAAAGTACTGAAACATTATAATATGTTGAAATTCAATTGTCATTTTTTAATGCTTTTGTTTCAACTTATGTTTTGCTTGACAATAAGAAATTGTTCAATTTCAATCTGTAACAATTTTTATTTGTTTTTTCTATGTTTGGTTAAGCATAAAAAAATTAATTTCATATGTATCTGGAAATGGAACAATTTCTAACTGAAAAAAGGGTAAAAACTTGAGTAAACATAATCAGTTCTCAAATATCTCCGAAGGAAATTCTTTGTTCTTTTTGAGCTAAACCAAGCAAGATTGCAAACAAAAGTACTTTTTAGTTGACAGTGGAAGAGATTGCATTAGTATGTCTCAGTACTCTTGCTTATTGCACTAAGCGTGACAAAAGACAACCTTTCCCCAACAAAAAGGTTCCTGATCACTTGTTCCATATGATATCATCATTCTTCAAATTTTGATAGACATTTTTCCCTTTAAAAATAAAGCATCATGGATATATCCTTTAATTTTAAAGGTGGTGATTAAATAAATCCAACAAATGAAAAGGTGCATTACCTGGGCTACCTTGGGTTCTGGAGCTTGTTCTGTTTGAATAAAAATCCTTGTGCTTTGATTTAAAGAGTACTTCATAAACTCATGAATTATTAGTGCTGAAGAATTAAAAGAAATTGTGGTACATCAATCCAAGTGTTGAGATAAGTTAACTGAAACAGAACTGGGTTATTGAAATAACTTTTTTGTTTTCAGAAATGTCCTTGTTAAAGGAGGTGACCTCGCTGTTTCCTCAGATGCAGTTGATGTTTTATTTGATGGTATGTTTGGCATATTTCTTGTAATTTTCTAGCGATTTCTCCTAGCTTGTGCATTGAATTCCGTGCATCTGATATATTCAACTCATCTGATCGTGCAGGCAAGGATTTCTACGAGTTTCGGTCCTCCCGGATAAAAACTAGAAATACTCATGGAACCGGCTGTACTTTGGCTTCATCTATTGCAGCTGAGCTAGCCAGAGGTTCTTCACTTTTCTTTGCTGTAAAGGTGATTGACTTTCTGATTATCTTATTATTGTTAACCATTGATACTTCTGCGGCATGCAGAATTCCATAATACTTGCAAATTGTCTGTTTGTTAAATTTGCTCTGTGC